GATTTTAACTGCTAGGTAGGAGAAAAAGTAGAAACGAAGCCTGTGATTTGAGTAATTTGGAATTCACAGTTTCTCTAATTGTGATTGTCTCTGACTCTGCAAGTGGGGACTGCAGTTCTGCGTGTGTTATCTGTACTGCGTCCCCAGTGTTTCTGTCACTGGGGGACAGTCTAATTAATACCCATTAGCACCCAGGTTGAAGGCTTCTGTTTGCTTGCTAATTACACTCAGAGGCTTCCCTGTTGAAATTGTCAGCTAAGGCCATGTGCTGCATCGGGGATTGTCCAGGATCATTACCCACACTCAGAGCAGAGATGTGGGAGTGGAGTCCTTTTCCAAGGCTGAATAACACCCGTGTGTCCCTCTTGCAGTGAGAACTACATTCCATCTAAACCCATATACACCTCAGTGTTCTGAGATTAATTTTGTTTTATTTTTGCTAAACACTTGGAACCGTAGGTGAGAAAACAGTTTCTGGAGAGGAGATGTTGGCATTGTCTTCCAAGTCCCTTGGTTTTCCTGAGATAATGGGAGTTCTGTCTCCACACTGGCCACCTGTGCCTGAGAGGCTCCCTGCCTGGTTCTATTCACTTCACTCGAATGTGCAAGACTCACTAGTGAGCTTATGTCTACTGGGGATGGGGCAAAATCCCTAGGCTAGGTTCTTTCTGGTATAGAAAGTCAGACCCAATAGAGCACTTCTGTTCTATGGCTTGCTTTCAGTTTTTCCATGTAAACCCTCAACCTTGGACAGCCCGGGGCATGCCCCACCACAGCGCTTGGATGCTTCAATACCATTAGGTTATTTCCAGACGTTTTGTAAACAGCCTCAGAGATTTTTCTTTGTCATGAGTCCTATAAATAATTCACAAAGTTACAGCCATAAAAGTTTTAAGGCAAAGAGCTAAATATTCCATGTCTCTTACGTATAAAGGGCTTATACCATTGGTTTTGAATTTTGTGCATGACCCCCACAGACATAGACTAAAGCCCACAAAAATTCTGTCATTCAGTGAGGAAATACTGGAACTAAGAAATATAAATTCTCCATCCGTGTTCTATCATATGACTTCTCTACCTTTAAAAAAATAAATATTTTAATGTTAAAATTTCCAGATAGAAAATATGCCAAAGTAGCTATTCTACATACTCTTCACAATAATGAATCTTGTTATGATTGACTAAACAAATCACAGGTTTATATAGTTTAAACTGAAAGTGTGTACTAATAGTCCATTTATATTCATTTTGTTACTCAGTTGGCAAACATGAGATGGGCCTCCCTGGGCCCGAGTGTGCTGGGTGACAAGGAGGCAGAATTCAACACATCTCTGCTCTCAAAGACTCATTCCCTAATAGGAGATTGAAATGAGCATAAGTGATTTTAACACAACGTGATCAATACTACCAAGAAAGAATAATTCATTCTAGGGTATTGGTTAAAACCCACCAAATGAGGTGACTTTCTGCCTTTGTAAGATGATTCAGATTTTGCAGCTTCCAAAGAGGGAAGTGTACTTCAGTCTGAGAACAACATGTGCAAAACATGGAAGGTGGGACAGAGCCGACAGGCTCCCACTGGGCCCTGGCAGGCCTTGATCGCTGACGACCCCACTGCCTAGAACAGTGCCTGGTAGGTGCTTAATAAATATATCAGTGTCTTGTAAATGCATTAGCACCTAATTATATTTGTAATATGTACTTTGATGTAAAAGTATATACTAACCGTTGTTTGTCAAAGGAGTTGGTGGGAGTGAGGTGGTAAAGTAGGGTTGAGTCATGTAGCAAAGGAGCTGATGTGCCTTGCTCTGGGGAATGGACTTGGACCTTGGATGTCCTGGGAAGCCATGGGAGCTTTCAAGCAAGGGGTGACATCAATGAAATGTGTGCTTTAGTTGGGGCGCCTGGGTGGTGCAGTCAGTTGAGTGGCTGGCTCTTTGTCACGATCTCAGGATCCTGGGCGCCAGCCCCGCGTTGGGCTCCATGCTCAGCGCAGTCTGCTTCAGGATTCTCTCACTCTCTCCCTCTGCCACTCGCCCAGCTCACTTGTACTCTCTCTCTCCCTAAATTAAATCTTAAAAAAAATGGAAATAGAACTTCCTATTTTGTTGTGGTCCTTTCTAAAAATATTTCTTAGTAAAAGTAGTGCATACTCATTTCCTGGAATTCATCAAGTATTGGAAGAAAGGTATACTAATCCAGCAATAACCAGCACCAACATTCTGGTATACTAATTCCTGGTGTTTTTTGAAATGCACATTTTATACACATAATGTATTTTACATAGTTGCAATCATAATGTATATCCAATTGTGTGTCTACTCATGAAAGTTTACATTATACATTATGTGTTCTGCATGTTATTAAAATTTTCACCAAAATCATTTCTGTAAATTTATTAAAACTTACAAAATCAGGTTATACAGATTACAAAATCTTGTTTTATCTTACTAGTTTGTGTGTGTGTGTGTGTTTGACAATTTATGTTCATAATTCATTCTGGTAATACTGTTACGATCTACCAAGCTCAATTTATTCCTTGAGAATCTGGCAATAAGTGTTATGCACTATTTCCATCTCTGGGTCTTATTCAGTGTGTTTAGAATTGTCAGATCATCTTTAGTTAGATACTAACATTGTAATATTTATTAAGCCCTCTTCCTCTGTCTCTTTTTTCACCGAAGAGTTTGAGACATATATTGGTATAATTTATGCATACATATAATATAGTCAGTTTAGCCAGTCTTTATTTTTTTGGAAAATGAGTCTTTTGATATTTCCAATTTATTTTCTTTTAGGAGTTTCTAACCACACACACAAAAAATAAAAGTTTATTTGCTGTTTATTCCAACAGTTGAAAATAAAAATAGTTTTCTCTGACTTTTTACCGTCAGACTTCGAGGCAGTCAGTGCTTTTCAACTAAATGTTTATTTGTTGGATCTGATGTAGCAGTACTAAAGAAAAATGTTTTAATATTAAGTCCCAAACTCTGGAAGCCTTCTATTAAAGTAAGCTGAATATGGGAAAATCAGATTTATTTTCATATTTCATATTGCCATTCTTGAGTTTTGTGATCTGTGCTGTTCATTTTCACAATCTAATCTTAAATCTTTTCTGATATATTCATGTCTTTGAATGTTACTGGTTTTCATGTATATTTGTTTACAAAGAGAATTTACTTTTCTTGTGGTCTTCTACTTCTTGGTCTTTTGTCTTAATGATTATATTAACTCTGTAAGTAGAGATTGGCAATATTTTTTTGGAAAAGGCCAGATAGTAAGTATTTTATGTTCTGTAGACCATAGGGCTGAGTGTTGTTGCAACCACTCAGCTCTGCCTCTTTAATGCAAAAGCAACCATAGATGAAATGGGAACAAATGAGCATTGGCTGATACACAGTATAATTTTCATTTGCAAATACAGGCAGCTGTATTTGTGTTCTGCAGTAATAGGTAACAGGGACAAAACAAAGACATCAGGATAAAATATGAGTAATCTATTAAAAATGCTTTTTCTTTTGTATTATTTTAGTTTATTTTAGCTAAGAATGAATGCATTTATTACTCCATTTTTAATAGCAGAAGCATTCGGTTTAAGTACCCTTACAGAAACATCTTTATCCATTAGCCTGTTGTATTTTTTTCTGTCTTGGATTTTTAACCAGCATGGGTTGTTGGAACACAGCAGTTAATTTCGAACTACATCAAAAATGGACTCATTGTTTTGGGTATTTTTTTTAACCAAATGTATATTCATACTTCACCAAATTAAGTCATCGGTAAAGAAATTAGCATTAATAGCCCCATCCTGTAATGGATTGGGATTTGGATCAAGTATTGGTTGTGGCAACCAGAGTGTACCATTACTCTTGTATTCTGGCCATTTGTACACCTGAGCACTTTTCCAAGAACGCGAACTCAATTGGAGATGTATAAACCTTTCTGCGGATTTCCCTCGTGATACTTTGTAGCTTTCAGAGATCACATTTTCTGAATGTTATATCTAATTGGTACAAGTGGTCTACACTCTCATTAGAGACAAAGCAAGCTTTCTCAGAAACAATGAATACATATGTACACATTCAACTTTCCAAGTTCACACTAAAAATTCTGATGATGAAAGTTATTTTCTATTCTCTCTCTTAAGCTTTAAGATAAGAAAGGGTATATTTCATTTTATCTTCTCTGATGGCTAATACTTTAAAATACCCCCATTCTTGGGGCGCCTGCGTGGCTCAGTTGGTTAAGCGTCTGCTTTGGCTCCGGTCATGATCCCAGGGTCCTGGGATCGAGTCCCGCATTGGGCTCCCTGCTCAGCGGGGAGCCTGCTTTTGCTTGTACGTGTGCGCATGCACGCTCTCTCAAATAAGTAAATAAAATCTTGGGAAAAAAATACCCCCATTCTTCATCAGGTTTTGTATGTTGTATATTTCTGTGTATTTTTGTATTATTCTCTATATTTCTCTTGTTTTGGAAACTAAGAAACATTTTCTACCATTTACCTCCGGGAAAATGTAATGTTCTTTGTGGGTTAGGATGCATTGCTGTAGGGTTATACTTTCAAACTGAGAAACTTCATAAGCTGGTCCTAACCTACTACCTACCTGTCTTGTCCCCTACTTGCTCTGTACTCCAGGCATCACAGGTATGCATTGCATTCAAGACTTCACTCAACCTTGTACCACCCTAACTTTGCTGTCTGGAAAATGGTCATGAATGTGTTCTCTGAGGCTCGAGTTAGAGTTGCTTTCTTTCATACCTTCCCAGGCAGAGTTACCTGCTTACTCTACTAACATTGCCTTTTCCTCACTGAACTATGACTTCATCATCTTTAGTTATCAGTCCCATCACAAACATCACCTATCCCCTTTCACAGTGCCCTGTGACAAACACATCAAGCCCGTAATAATTACATGTGGACCTGAAGGAACACCTAGATAAAAAGGAAAGGCACTGATCATTGTAGACTCTCTAATCATACTTTCTTTCTTTATCTTTAGGTATTCTTGAAGTTTTACACTGTGTGTTGGTAGAAAGTCCAGAAGCTCTAAATATTATTAAGGAAGGACACATTAAATCCATAATCTCGCTTTTAGACAAACATGGAAGAAACCATAAGGTAAGGGAACGAATGTATTGCCATGGATGAATTCTGGGATAATTTTATTTATTTATTTATTTATTTATTTATTTATAAAGAGTTGGAGTTTTA